AAAAAAAAAAAAAGAAAAAAAAAAAGAAGAAGAAAAAAATCCTCGAGGAGAGAGGAAGGTCTCTGACATTTTTTGCCTTAATAGCAGCTTAATATTAAACGTCTTTCATAAAACACGCACATCCAGATCTACTTAAAAAGAAAAAAAAAAAAAAAGGAGAAAAAACACAGAAAGCCTTCATTTCCCCCAAATGTATGGCGTGCGCAGCGCTGTGTTAGCTGCCTCAGTAATTTAATTGGAATGAAACGTGAAAAATGTGTCATTTTTTGAAGAATTTATGCATCGCTTCCTGGAAATCTCATTGTCTTAACTAGCAGCCTACTGTGTTCTGTTTAGCAGGCATAATCGCATTTTTATGTGTCTCCGTATTAGAAGTTAATGTGACCTCCCGTCTTTAGCTGCTGGAAAATAATAATAATAGCCAAAATAATAATAATAATAAAAACAAAACCCCCCCCCCAAAAAAACCCGAAAAAACCGAGCCTTTTCCCAGAACATCTGCATCAAAACAAGGCACTGCCAGGAAGGCAAAATAATCTAAAATAATCTATATTTGGGGTATATATATAAATATATATATATATATGTATAAACCGCCAGCCAAACTTATCAACCCCAGCCAGGAGCATCATCCCACTCGGAGCATCATCATCATCAGCATGATCATCATCATCAGCATCATCATCATCGCACCCGGAGCATCATCATCATCACCACACCACCACCATCCCGCCCGGAGCATCCTCCCGCCGCCGCGCTCACCCCGCCGCCGGCAGAACGGCGCGAACCCAAAGGAGAACCATCCCCCCCCCACCCCAAAAGGCTCGGAGTCGATGTTTTAGAGGCTTTTTTTGCCTTTAAATCTCATTTTTCGGGTGTTTTCGGGGGGTCCCGGCTGCCCCCGACGGCCGAGCAAAGCGCGCCCCCTGCCGGCCGCGGGGAGCCGCGCACCCCCCCCAGGCCTGTCCCCCTCATATTATAATATATATAATATAATATAATATATTATTTATATATTAAAAATACAATACATAAAATTTTTTTAATTTTTTTTTTTTTAAACCAAGTGTAATTCAGCACTGGGAGTATTTTGGGGAGCACTGTGGCAGAAGGACAGCTGTTCTCCCAAGGGATGCACGTGTGCATGTCCTTTGGTGCAGCAGGAATTAACCTGGAGAGCCTGAGCGTGTGGGAAACACAAATCCTCGCTCCTCCTGGTCCCTTTGCCCAGGTCACTGTGGGAAATGATGAAAACCCAAACTCCACAATTTCGGGTTTTCCAGCCCCTTCCTGTGCCAGCCTGGGGGCAGTGACAGGCACAAGGGGTATGGGAGGGGCTGGGAGATACAGGGATTTGTGTCACCCTGCTGCATGGAGTAGCCACAACATTCTTGGTGGCTCCTACATTAAAAAAAAAAAATAAAATTGAATTTTAAATCTATTTTAGGGCCTTTATTAATGCTGCTAGACTTTGCATCCTGCTGAGGGCTTCTACACAGCACCTTTGCTTCCCAGGTGAGATTTATCCCAGGGGATTTGATGCTTACCTGGGCTGGTTTGGGTTCCCTGGGATGATTTGGGTCCCCTGAGCTGGTTTGGGTCCCCTGGGATGATTTGTGTCACCTGGGATGATTTGTGTCTCCTGGGATGATTTGGGTCCCCTGGGATGATTTGTGTCTCCTGGGATGATTTGGGTCCCCTGGGATGATTTGTGTCCCCTGCCCTGTCCTTCCCTTCCCACACCTGAGCAGCCCCCGCTGCTTTGCAGGGATCCTCCATAATCAGCATTATTCCTACCAGCCACTAATCATTTTATTACTCTTTATAATCTACTTAAAGCACAATTAGAAGGGGGGAAACACCCCAAAAAAACTATACAAATTTCCAGCCAAAAGCACATTTTAGTCCTGGGAAAACAGCCACGGCAAGCGGCGCCCCTCATGGCACGGATGCTCCTGGATCTGCTCCTGGGTCTGCTCCTGGATCTGCTCCCTCACAGCACCACTCCCTGGGGCTCCAGCAGCAGGAATTCCCGCAGGGCCCCGGGCAGGGGCAGCAGGGGGATGAGGGAGTGGCACTTGTCCCCACAGTGTGCCCGGATGGTGGCACGGCACAGGTGCTGCAGGCTCCGGGCGGGACTGGTAGAATGGCGGGTGCTGCTGCAGAGGGGGGACAACGCCGGTGTCACCCACCCGGGCTGGCACCTCTGCTGGCTGCCAGAGAAGCTGGAGGTGTTTAGGGATGAAGGGAATGAGGGAAGGAGCCCAGGCGTGGCTGTGGGTGTGGGGTCTGGCCACTGACACAGGGAAAGGGTGGGTGAGGGATTCTGGAATTCTCCTGTGGAACTGGGACCTTGTGGTCTGGAATTCTCCTGTGGAAGCACCTTGGGGAAAGCCAGCCTCGGGGAGGGTGCAGCAGCATCCCACAGAAAGCTGATGTAGAAGAGAGCCTGTTCCTGAGGGAACAAAGCAGGATTGGGCTGTGCAGCCTCGGCCTTTCCTTAATTTTGGGAAGAAATCCTTTCTCCCATTCCTCAGAGCACCCTGAAGGCTTTGTTTGCATTCCAGCTGTCCCTCACAGCCTGTGGGGCCAGGAGCCATCCCAAATCACCAGAGTGGGCTGGCTGTACCTGTTGCACATCCAAGGAGGAGCTTTTCCCAACCAAAACGAGGGATGTGGGCTCCTGCTGGGAAGTGCTCTGGCTCCAGGCTCACTTGCAGAGGCTGAGAGTGGATTTTATGGCAGGCTGGGGCAGGGATGCGGGGACTGAGGATGGTGGAGCTGAAGGGGTGCAAACATGGAGGGATCAGGTGTGTGGTGCTGCTCTAGGGAATATTCCTTTTGGTTTTCCTCCATCCAGTGAAGTCTGGGTGGGGGGGGAAAACCAGTCTGTGGGGAAAATAAACCCCAGTTCTGTGGGGAAAATAAACCCCAGTTCTGTGGGGAAAATAAACCCCAGTTCTGTGGGGAAAATAAACCCCTGTTCTGTGGGGAAAACCCCCTCCTTGGGTCTCAAGCCAGCAGAGCTGCCTCACCTGGAACACCTCCTCTGGCACGGCCTTGGCCCACTCCTGGGACACCGGGATTTGGGAGTAGGAGTTGAAGAGGACCTCGATGACCTCCGGCATGGCTGTGCAGGATTTCAGCACCTGTCCAGGAACATGGGAGGGCTCAGACACCGAGGCAGGGCCAGAGGGGACAACAGCCACCTGCTGCAGCCAGGGTTTGTCCCACCCCACCCCGCTCCAGGCTGGGATAGCTCCGTGTCGGGATGGGGCAGGCGTGGGGTTTCTCCTGGCATCTTTCGGAGCAGTGGGAAGCCCCGCCCTGCTGAGGCTCTTCTTCCTCACTCCTTATTTACATTTTTGGCTTGTGCCTGACAAGGCAGGATAATATTTTCTTTATGGTTTGATGTAAAATCAATGGAACGCAGAGCTACGATGCAGCTCGTGAGCCAGGCCTGTCTCTGATATTCCCTAGGCAGGGAAAACCCCCTCTGAGCCGCCCTAGCTCCCTCCTGCCCTTCTGCTGGGCCTTCACTTCCACCACTCCCCATCCCCACCGTCCCCTCTCCCTGCCAGACACGGAAGCTCTCCCAAATTCTCCCACCCTGCCGCCTTTACACGTCCCAGATCTCCCAACCTCAAGGCCGCGCGTGCGAGGCGCTCTCCGGGCGCCATTTCGGGGCCGGTTCCTTGACGAAGGCTGGGGGCCAAATCTTCCGGGAGCCGTGGTTGAGCAGCAGCCTCACGCTGAGGTGGGGCCGCAGCTCCGGGCGGGAGGCAGCGCCCTGCAGGGCCTAGCCCAGCGGGGACACGCCGTCCTAGTCGACGGCGTTGGCGTCGGCGCCGCGCCGCGCCGCAGCAGCACCAGCTCGGCGTCGGCCGCCCCGCAGGCCCGGTGCAAGGGCCGCCTCCAGCTCTCATCCCGGGCCTCCACGTCGGCGCCGTGGCCCAGCAGCAGCTGGAAAAGCTGCAGGGAATGGTCGCCGTCGCCCGGGGCCTGCCCGCAGAGCACGCCCAGCGCCGTCTCCTGGCGCGCGTTGCGGGCGTCGACGCGGGTGCGGCGCCGCAGGTAGAGGCGGGCGTGGTGGCAGAGACGGTGCCTGGCGGCCACGTGCAGGGCCGTGTCCCCTCCCGCCTCGCTCGGCAGCTCCACGGCCGCCCCGCGCATCAGCAGGAGCTTGGCACACCTGCGGGAAGGGGTTTCAGGACGGGGGTTTAGGGGTGGTGTGGGTGGAGCCATGAGGGATGGTGGGGTGGGAGGTGGTGTGGGGTGAGGGGGGAAGTCGTGCTGGAGCTGGGGTTGTGGCACTCGGGGATTTTGGGAGGGAGCAGCACAGGCTGGGCAGGGTGGCACTGTGCCCTGGTGCCCTCCACACTGAGGGCAGAGGTGGTTTGGGCCATATCTCCCTCTGCCCCTTGACCGGAGTCATGCATGGATGACCATCCTGGACTGTCCTTGAATACCTTGACCCTCCTTGACCATCCCAGACTGTCCTTAGCCATCTTGACCATCCTTGACTATCCTTGACCATCCTTGACCATCCTTGACCATCCCAGACTGTCCTTTGCCATCTTGACCATCCTTGACTATCCTTGACCATCCTTGATCATCCCAGACTGTCCTTTGCCATCTTGATCATCCTTGACTATCCTTGCCCATCCTTGACCATCCCAGACTGTCCTTAGCTATCTTGACCATCCTTGAATACCTTGACCATTCTCAACCATCCTTGACTGTCTTCAACTATCCTTGACCACCCTGACCATCCCTGACCACCTTGATCAACCTGAGTGTCCTTGACCATCTTTGACTACCCTGACTGCCCTGCACCATCCTTGACCATCCCTGACCATTCCTGAACCCCTTGACCATCCTAGCCCCACTTGCTTGGATATAAAAATGGATTTTCCTTCTCCCTTGGAGGGACCCCAACACCTGTGTTGCGCTTCTGCTACAGAGGATTGTGTTTTCACAGAACCACGGAAAATCCTGAGCTGGGAGGGACCCATGGGGACAGTGGAGTCCAGGGGAGGAGCACCATATTTAACCCCTTCTGCCTCTCTAATTTTCATCTTTTGTTGCAGCTCAGGTGTCACTGGAGCCCTGGCTGAGGCTCTGGGCTGACACAGAAGAGCACGAGGGGCAGAGAAGTCCCAGCCTGATCCTTCCAGCAGCGGGGATGGGGAAGAAGAGGAACCTCAGGGAGGAAGGACAGCACCAGGATATTGCTTGTTTTTCCTGGCCCACAGGAATGCTAATGTGTGTGGGAAAAATGTCAATAATAAAATAATGAGCTAATACTACTACTAATAATATACTTGACTTTTCTGCACCTGCCTCATCACCTCCCCAGGGATTTGCTGGGAGGATTTTCACTGTCCTTGGCAGTGCAGAATCTACAAACACCTCCCTGGCCTGCTTTTCCCGTGCACCTCAAGCCTGAGATGCCAGAAAAAAATCCCTTCAGGATCTTTTCCTGTACCTCCCAGAGGTGCCAGCCCTCACCAGAGGCTCCACCATGGATGTTCTACTGGGGGTGTAGCTGTCTGAGAGTGGATTTAGGTGGGATTGTGCCATTCCCAAAATCCTCACGTCCCTACTTTCCAATTTAATTTTTTGCACTAGGATGCTGAATCCCTTTCTCCAGGAGAGTTTTGTCTCCCTGAGGCTTTTTTGGGGCTCGCTGGCTGCTGTTGGAGGGGATCACTCAGACACTCAGTCTCTTTTGCTGGTCTTGGCCATCCTTGTCAGCAGGGAGTTTGTAGCCCTGATTATGATTATTCTCTTGGGGTCTCTCCAGAGCAGCTTAATCCTGATGTCACAGGTAGCTCTGCACCCTAAAACGACACATTCAGGGCAAACCAATGATGGTTCTGCAGGGAAAAATGGGAAAAAATATTGCTGACTTGGCTGCAAAAATGCAGCAGCCTCGCCCTGAGAAAAATCCCCTTTTGTTCTGCTTTTCCTCTTTTTTTGGGGGTAGATCATGCTTAAAGCATTTCCAGACAAAGAGGCTGCTGTGCCTTGGCACAAACAGTGCCCTGGTTTGGGCAAGAGTGCCCAGGGTGAAGATTTCCACCTGCTGAAGATTTCCAATCCTCGCTGTGCCCTGGGCTTTTCCCTTACAGAGAATCCCACCCTGGGAGCTCAGTTCCTCTTCATCTCCTGCTACACCTCCCAAATATTCCCTTGTGGAAGGACCATCCTTCCCAGAGGCTGCATCCCTGGAGGGGTTTTTCTTTTTGGTTATCAAGTGCTGGAAGGAACCCAAGCCTCTTTATACTGGATTTTCCCCCTGGGTGCTCCTCCCTTGGCACAGAGGGAATGTTGGCAGGGAGTTATGAACAAGAGAAGTTCTCTTCCAGTGAATGGAAAGGGTGGGAGCCTGGGAGATGCATTTGTCTCCTGTTTGGATATCTGGGCATTGGCAGGTTCTGGGTAGATGCTCTTGTTAACCTCTAAAATCTCTCTGTTGATGAATTCATGAGCTCCAACACTTCCCCAGCGTTTCTGGCTTCCTGTATGTTCATTCACAGCCCGGTTGTTGCCACCAGAATGGACCAAAATCACATTAAATAAGGCCCAGCAATGGCTTGCTGCTTTTTCAAGGGCTCCTCTCCAATCTCCTGGTAATACTGAAAGAGCACGCTGAGTTCAGCTTTCCGTTTATCTCAGCAGAAATTCGGTGGCAAAACAAGTAACTTTTTTTTCCATCCAGCCTGGTGCCTAATTTCGACTAATTTAAACTCACTTCCAAGCCATTCCCAACCCGTTTGCAGGTGATGGGTGACATCCCCTTGCTTGGGCAAGTCATTTCTTAAGGTAAAGGAAATTTGGGGTGAGTGGTGCTGGTGCTCCACCTTCGCCCTGTCCTGGGCTCCTGGATCAAATGGAATGGCAGAAAATTATTTGGGATTGATTTTTTTTTTTAAAATTTCTTCACCCATCAGAGAGTCAGGGCAGGATGAGCCCACCACCCTCCTTATGCTCCCACTGGCTGGGATGGAAACCACCCAGGCTGGGAAAGCGGGATTTGTTAGGAATGGGATGTGAAGAACAACCAGCAGGAGGAGCAGGAGATTGGGGCAGCGGAGGCTGCAGGGAAAATCCCGTCCCAAGAACCCGCTCAGGCCCCAGTTTCCTTAAGGAAAAACCTCCTGTTTGTTTTTCCTCCCGTCGTCGGGGTCGGAGCGAGGTCTGTCTGTGAAATCCCTCATCCTGTCACGTCTCAGAGGGCAGGGCCAGCCCCGTGGCTGCTCCTGGGCTCTTTATCTTTCTGTCAGGACCCACTCAGGAGCTGCTCTTGCCCAGCTTCCCAAAACCATGGCTCCAAGCGCTCCGAGTGCTGTATTTAGCAAGGCAGAACGGAGCAGAGGATGAGGTTTAGCACTAGATGATGCTAAACGCTGGCTTTTCATATCCCTGGGCTTTTTTCCCCTTGCAGTGCTGCTTTCCCACAGCCCCAGGGCAGAGTGCCCAGGGTGATGCTGGAACAGCTGGAGGGTGCCTGGGCTTGGCTCCTTGTCTTGTCTTGACCTTTTTAGGCTCCTGCCTTCCTGCTCATCTCCTGTTTCCTGCTCATCCCTCCCATTCCCCCTGTCCCTGGTGCTTGCTCCCTATCCCAGTGCCCCTTGGACGCTGCCTGAGCTCCTGCATTGACCCATCCCATCCTTCATCCCCCATCCCTTGGCTCTGGGGGCTTGGAGGAGGTGGAGAACTCTGCTTCCAGCTCCCATGTTGGAGGGAAGGCTCGGAGAAGGGAATTGCTCATCTGGAAGCAGGGGTGACACCTTCCTGTCCCATCCCTTGGCTTCCCAGAGCTCTTTCCTTGCCGAGCTCTTTCCAGTGCGAGGCTGGAGAAGGGGAATTCCTTTCCAGGCAGGCTCTCCCTGGCCACGAGGGAAGCCTGGGACATTCAGGGAGATCGGAAGGAGGGCTCTGCAGATGTTCAGCATCCCTTCCTGCCGTGATGGGAGGCAGGAGCTGTGTCCTGCATCCCTGCCAGTGCCTGCCCAGAGCCCCACGCCCGCTCTCCCCTCCCCTCCCCGCCGCCGAGGCTCTTCCTCTCCCCCTCAATTATTTTTATTTTATTTTTTTTTTCGGGGTGCCAATAAAGGCAGGCTCCTTTAATCATCCCCAGCTTTAAGAGGGAAAAGGGAGAGCGCCAGGGAGAGAGTGCAGTGAATTTAGAGACTCATCTTACCCCACCATGTTAATTATCTCGGCTGTAAAAAAGAGGTCAAGGAGAGGAACTCTACTAAATAGGCCGACGTTGGCATGAACAGCTCCTAAAGTGAAGAAGGTAAGACTGAACTTTACTGGAACTTTTTTTTTTCCATCTCTTCAAAAAGCTCCTAGATTAAAGCTCTGATATCCTTTTTGTTGAAATCTCATGGATTCTGAAGCTCAAATGGCTGGAAGGAAGCCCAGATAATTTTTTTTTATCCCAGTCACTGAGAGGCTCAAAGGTTTTAAGTCCTGCCCCCATGGTGAATTGCCGAGTATATGGGAATACAGAAGAACCTGGCACATAGGTGTTCTGGCCATTGTTATCGAGAGGGAGAAAAATAAAATAGCTCTCTATGTAGGTCAATGACCTGCTCTTTGTTGTCAGTAAAAAATTAAGGATGACCTAAAATCTACTACTCAACGAAAAAAATAATAAAATAAAAAAAAAGGAGGCGAGGTAAAGTAGTCTCCCCCTAATCAAAGAGGAAATGTTTGTGTTACCCAAAGCTTGACCTCCTCAGTCTCTAACTTTAGCAAAGTCTTTGCTATTGAAAAAGCAGTGGTCGAAACCTCAAACCCTGTCTGAAATGTCTATTAATTTTTGATCTTTCAAGGGAGTTGGCTCAGTTATTGTAGAAGCCCCCGTAGCGCCGGGCGCCGTAGTGAAGGGGCTCGCAGCATTTCCATTATAAAGCCCCAATATTCCAGGCCTTACAACTCAGCTGTTGCCACCTCGGGGCTGTCTGATCCCCGTGGTGGCTGAGCTGGCTCACCTGCCAGCCCCCTCCACCTTCCAAGGGAACGGAACATGCAAATCAGTGAGAGCAGATCCGTTTTCTAATACATCTACATAAAATAGTATTTTTTTCCAAGCTTGGAAGCAAAGCCAGGGCACCTGGACCACTGAGGTCCAGGAGATCTTCTGCACACCCTGGGGTGGTTTGGTGGCCCCATCTCTTCAGGGGGAGAAGCCTAAAATCAGGGAAGCACTGGGGTTTAGGATGGGGCTGGAGGATGAGGTTGAAGGTGCAAAGGGAGCTCAGGTGAAGGAATTAAAGCCAGCTCTTGCCTGCAGCATCCTCCCTTTCCCACCCTGCTCCTTCCAGCCCTCACGGCACCAAGGATGCCTGGGATTCATCCCTAGATTTTTTTGGCTGAACCAGAAGTTGACTAACACCTGATTTTTGGACATCTTGCAGAGACTCTTACTGATAAGCAGAGATCAAACCTTTCCCTCTCTGGCTGCTTCCCTTCTCCAGAACTCTCTCCCTGTGTCGTGGTCTGTGACATGCTGGAACCTCGCTTCCACCACCTACCTCCAGGTAATCTTGCCTGCCTGGAGGGCAGAGGATGGAAGCCAGGCTAGCTTTTCAGGGAAGCTGGCAGGTGATGGAATTCACTGTGGCCCTAAGCAGTTTCATCAGGAAAATATCAAGTGGCTGAGCTCTTTATAAAAAAAAAAAAAAGGAAATATCCTCATTCCGTGTGTCTAGCTATGCAGGCACCTAAAGTCCTACAGAAACATATTTTGCTGTGTTTTTCCATATTTTTCCAGGAAATTTTTATGCTCATCTGTCTGATGCTGATGGAGGGTGGGATGTGGGCACACATGGAGGAGCTCAGCCCTGCCTGTGAACCAAGGGGGATCCCTTGTGTGGGGTGAGGGGGTGGGAGCATTGCTCCACATCCCATAAACCCATCCTGAGCATCTCTTGGGGAAGCGTGCTGGATCTGGGCTGCAGGACTTACTGATTTTAGGGGAAATAGTCAGGAAAGAGGAGCAAGGAAAGGCTGAGGCTGGGCTGCTCCTGTCCATGGGGAGAAGACTTTGGCTGTGCAATGTGCCTGGCACCAAAATGCCCTTTTTGTCTCTGCTGTGGCAGTGGGGAGACATGGGAACGTGAGAGAAGCCTTGCTATGGATCATGGCATCTTTTTTTGCTTCATGGCATCTTTTTTGCCTTCCACAGGCAAAACTCCCGGGCTGTGCGCACAGGGGATGCACAGCGAGGTTGTCATGGAATGCCAGAAGAGTTTGGATTGGAAGGCTTGGGTGGAAGAGGTTTTACAGCAACTTCTGTGAGCCAGGGAGAAGTTTGAGAAGAGGATTCATGTTTGATAAGGGGATCTGTGTTTGATAAGAGGATCCACATTTGCCCCTGAAAGAATTTCCTACCAAGGTTGTTGACAGACAAACCAAGAAAGAAAAAAGGATAAATAAGAGAATAAATAAGAGAAACCTGCAACTGCCCATTCCAATAATCACTTTGTTTGTCTCTTCTAACCAATGAGTAAACTTCTGAGCTTTGTAAGAGTGTATAAAAAGCATGCATGCTAGAATAAAACCAATTTGAAGCCTTCTTGGAATGGAGTGTTGTAGCCGCATTTCTCTTCACGGAGAAAAGCAAGGCACAATTTCCCAAGGATATTTCTGGGATTCACATTCTCTGAACCTCAGAGAAAGAAAAAACAATTCTTATCTCATTTACTGCTCCTGCGTTGCTCACAAGTGGAGTGCATCGTGGAAGATTGTTTACCTGAGGGGAGCTGGCAATTGGATTCTGGTGTGAGTGTTTTGATTCACTGACCAGTTGAATCCAGGTGTGTGAGTATCGGGACTGTCGGCTGGCAGTCACAAGATTCTGGGCACTGGAGTTGAGTTGGGTGCTTGTGCAGATTCTCTGGAAAATCCCTTCGCCCAGGATTTTTCTCCTGGGAAGCTGAGAGGCCTCAGAGAAAAAGGAAAACAATTCTTATCTCATTTGCTTCTCCTGTGTTGTGCTCATGTGGAATGTGTTTGGAGATTGTTTACCCACAGGTGATTGTTCCATTGGATTCTGGTCTGAATTATTTTGACTCAATGGCCAATCAGGGCCAAGCTGTGTCAGGACTCTGAAGAGTCACAAATTTTCATTATTATCTTTCAGCATTCTGTAAGTATCTTCTCTGTATTCTTTAGTATAGTATTCTTTAATATAATATAGTATCATAAAGCAATAAATTAGCCTTCTGAGAACACAGAGTCAGACTCATCATTCCTGCCTTCATCAGGACATTCCCAGCAAATACAATAAATGGGGCTCTGATTGCACCTGGTTTAGTCCTGCCCCTGCATTCCCATCCTCTTCCCAGCAGCCTGGGGGCTGGAGCAGCTCCTGACAGGGCTTTTCCCCTTTTTCTCTGGCAGCTGTAGGGACTGGTTGTGCTCCATGGCTCTGACTGCAGTTGGAAGGAGGGGAAACAAAACCCCCTCGCTGTGTGCTCCTCCAGGAGTGGGATTTCAGGTGGAACCAGGTGGGCAAGCCAATGCCCTGCTGGCCACCAGGGCACACAGCCCCATCTGCAGTGGCTGGCAGGAGCTAAAGGCAGCCCAGGAATTCCCCAGGAAAGGAAAAGCTGACTTTGCTGGGAGTGAGGGCACCCAAGGCAGGTGGGAGCGTGTTGGAGGGCTGGGCTTGGGATGTGCTGGGTTTGGGAGTACCCAGAGAGAGGAACTGTGTTTCTCAGCAGCTCCAGGACCTCCTGGACCGTCTCCTGAGCACCTGGGGCCATGGGGAGCATCACCTCAGGAGGCACCACCATCCTGGGGGCATCTGATCCCTCCTGATAGCACCATGAGGAATGTGGGCTGCGAGCCCTCTCTGAAAGCATTCCCAAAATACAGGGTGTCTAATCCCAGCCTGAGGAAATCACGGAGATGCACAAACCTGACTCTTCCACTGGGTTAGTAGGTGCAGAAGACAAGAAAATATAAAAGTGATGAATATTAATGGTCAGAACTGTGGGCTAACCAGAAACCTTGGGCACACTTAAGGCACCGAGATGCACTGCCCCTCTCCTGTTTAGGGTTAGCAAACACACACTGATTTCATTCTCCTGGCCTGGCCTTCAAAGGAAAAGTACCTGAGAGTCCATAAGAGGCTTGGCTTTTCACCTGCCACTCCAGCTGGTTTTTACTGATCTCAAAGACCAGGTTGACATCTTGGTGGTATCTGTCAGTCAGGAGCTGCAGGCTCCTCAGGTCTCCCGTGACCAGGGCTGTGTAGAACCTGGCGATGGGAGCACGAGGTGCCAAGGGATGCTCCAAGTCCAACTTGGAGGAAATCCTCAGCTTTCCTGTCCCAGCTCCTGGTGCCTCACTCATGCCAGTGCTTCCTGGTGTGCAGGTCCTGCCTGGGGGCATGGCCAGGCTTTTATATCCTATTGGTTCCATCCTCTTGGCTCACTGCCTAATTGTAATCCAGTCCAGGCTCTGTTGTGGAGTATTTATAACTGCAGAGGGCTTGGAGCATGATGGAGACGGGGTGCAATGAGGGTCAGGTGGTCACTGGGCCATGCTGCACCAGCACCTCTTGGATTAAATTGCTGGATTTTTTGGAGGCTCCAACTTGGGACAGAGGTGTTTAGGCTGGGAGGAAAATGGTGCCTAGTGTTTAGGAAACTAAAAAAAAAACAAAAAAAAGGAATTTAGTCAACTGCTGTCAATCCCCAATAACCTTATTTGTGTCCTCTGAGCTCTGGGAGGATTTCCCCTCCCCCCCCCCCCCCCTTTATTTCTTTTTTTCATGAAGGTGCTCATATGAGATTCCAGTCCTGTGGTTGCAATGTGGAAAAATCTGGGCTACGTGTTACTGGCCCAGCCTGGAATGCTGGGATGGTCCTTGCAGCGTGGTACAAATGCTCCTGGGGCTTTGGCAGGGGAAGCTGCTCCCCCAGACAGTGCCTTGTATAGGAGAGAGAAAACTCCACTGGATGCCAGCAGAGCATTCCCTGCTCCCACTTCCCCCAGGCTGCTTTCCTCAAGGTTACCAGAGAGATCCGTGCTGGGGACGAGAATAGAGGCTGGCATCTCGTGACTTGGAGGCTCTGGGTGACAAAGCTTCCCCTTCCCAGCCCCGCCACCCACCTCTGCGGGGAACAAACCCGGTCAAAGCAGATTTTGGGATGTCAAACCAGAGCTGGAACGCTGCATGGTTCCCTCCGTGTGGAGCCAACCTGAGGCTGGGAGGAATTTTTGGGACCTTCCTGGGGATCCTGAGCATTCCCGAGCCAGCACCCCTGTGCTGCCAGGGCCACCTGAGGTTCCCCCGTGCGTGTCCCCAGCGTGGCTGTGGTGACACCCATCTCTGGAGCCCCAAAACTCCCTGCTGTGTCCTTGAGGGATGGGGCTTGCTGAGCTAAGGGGTTCCTGGTGATTGACCCCCCTAAGGCCCCTGCTCTTGGGAAGCAGCACTGGGAGCTCATTTGAGGCCACCCTAGGTGGTCTTCCCTGTTTTTTCCTTCTTTTCCCCTTGCACTCAAGGTCAGCATTCCCACCTGGCCATCCCCAGCCTCTCTGTTGGTTTGGAGCCTCCAAAGCCCCTCATTTTTCCCTCTGCTTTCCCCACTTTGTTGCTGTTTTGCTGCACCCAGCCTTTCAGTGCCCATTCCCTGCTCTGGCATGGCCTGAGCCACCTCCTCCAAGCACTGCTCTGGTATGCAAACACCCCTGGGCATCCCTGGGCTCCTTCAGCCAGCACAGCAGGAGCTTTGGAGATCCACAGACAGGTATCATTCACCTCAGGGTGGCATTCCCAGAGCCCTGGCTTGCTTTCCCTGTCTCTGGCGACCCTGTCGTATTTTCGTGGTGATGTGGAGGAATCCTGCCTCATGCCAAAGGATCACTTTCCCCGAGCAGGGATTGCCTCCCTGGGTAAATTTAGCAGGGAGGGCAGACCCTGTGGGCCAGTCCCGGGCTAGTTCCCTTGGTGGGGGTGTGGATGTGTGTGCAGAGACACCCCGTGACCCTTCTCAATCTGCATCTATCTGCATATAAACACTCGAGTCCCAGGCCAGGCTTAAAACCAGCCTGGGACAGCAGGAGTGGAGAGAAATGTTCCCTTTCCAACAGCTTGTAAAAAGCACTTGTTGCCTTCAGGCAGCGAGTTTGGGCGCTGGAGGACACCCCACAAGGCTCCCCTGTGGCAGTGCTGTGCTGCAGGGCCCTGGGCACATCCCCTGGCAGCACAGCTTTGTGATCCCTGAGGATCTGAGCCTGGCAAAACCAAGCCTGGGATCATCCTGCCGTGTCCTTCCTTCGGCAGGGATGGCCCTGCACAGCCCCAGAGAGGCTCAGAGGGAGCACCTGTAGTCTCACCCTCATCCATCCCCAGCACCTTCTCCTGCAGGGCACATCCCACTGAACAAAACATTCAGCATTTCCCTTCCCCAGATCAAGGGGGTCTGTTCATAACAGCTTCCATTGCCTGCTCCAGCTCCCCATTGCTGGGAAAACTCATTCCTGGCACAAGGAGGGCACAACAGCAGCAGGAGGGTTTGCAGAGAGCTTGTCCCCCAGGTGCAGCTGCCACATAACTCAGTCCTCACTCTGGGGACACCTCAGCCCTCCTGGTCCCAAAGCCCCACGAGGCTGTGGTAGAACATCCAGATGTGCAGAGCTCCTGGCACCACCACCTTGCTTGGATGTCATTATTATCACTGTCATTATTATCCTTGCAGGAAATCTCCAGTGTGGTGCAGGAGCCCGCAGCACTGCCTCCTCCAGAGGGGCTGATTCCAACCTTGCATCCCCTCCTAGTCCCCCCAAATAGCTCAAATGGGGTCCCTGTGATGGCAGCATCCCCCCAGCACCCCGTGGCTGTGGGACTGAGGGGTTGCAATGCCACCACAGCCCCAAACCTACCTTGGAGCCATGTGAGGGGGGCTCTCCTGGCTGATGGTCCCTCATCCCCCCTGATCACCATCCCTGCCCGGGCAGAGCGAGGTGTGAGCTTCAATGCCCTCTCTGGGATCCAGGTGCCACCTTGCAAAGAGCCACCCTGTCCCCAGCACATCCCCACGTTTATATTTGCAGCTCTCCAGGTGACAGCACTGCCCAGCTATGTGGCTGTGGTCGGGCTGACCCTGCCAACACACAAGTCCCTGTCCCTGTGCCTGTGCCCATGCCTTTAACCCCCCCAAAAATACTTCTGCAGATGCTGCTGCTGCTGCTCAGTTCTTCTTTAGAAGCTGCTGCCTGGTGAAATATAAACTTGTCCTGAGGCTGCATTGATTTTGTGCAGTTTTTATTGGAAATTAGATGATATTTAAGCATTTTCCTTTAACAGCTCTATGTAACATGGAAAGGTCTTGTGCTACAGTTAGTTTATAGTGGCTCATCTTTGTCAGATGTAAATAATTCAATAAACCCCTCTCCAAACTCTTTCCAATTATAACTGCACAATTTTCCTTTTTTTTCCCCCTTTCCCCCATCAGTTACAGGAATAATAATAAAAAATAGCTCTTAGCTCAAGTAAAAATTCAAGGGCTCCCTTCTCCCCACCTCCCTGCTGAAGAGCTGTTAATTATCCCCTGGGAATTCAGTCCTGGGGCACATCCTCTTTGAAAGGTGGAGCCCTCCCAGTTATTTACCCCCCGAGTTATGCGCTCTTGGAATGTCACCCTGTGTGCCAGGCTGGAAAACCAGCTGGGGCTGACCCTCACCACGTGTCTCCCACCCAGTCTCAGCACTAGAGGCTCCTTGTGGGGTCCATAATGTGGGATTTCCTGCTGGGATGGGAGACACCCATCTGTGATTTGCCTCACCCCTCACAGACTGCCCCCAAAAAGGGTTTTATAAAGGATTACAGAGTGAGGACTCAGTGCTAGGCATTTCAGGGCTCAGATCCCAGCCCTTTTCCCCAACTCTTGGAATCTGAAGCAGGTTCGCCCCATTCCCTAGCTGGAATTCCAGCGCTGCCATCGCTGTGGGAGGTGCAAACAGAGGAGCTGGATGGCCACCACGAGCTCCAACAAGCCCTTGACTTGGTTTCATGTCATCCCTGAGCACAATTAGTGTTTGACACCGGCAAGTGCCAGGTAGCTGTGGAAGTTATTTATGGGCTGGAGGATGTGTTTCCCAAGCACACCCTAAATGGAAAGTTCCTGAGATAATTGCTTGCCCTCTGGGGTGCAGGAGAACAAACCCAGCCATCCCCTGCTGCCCACACCCACTCATTTCTGGGGGATTGATTTATCCCTTCCCACTGGACACACCAGAGCTGTCACTGTTAATTAGTGGGGCCTTGGCTTGGCTCATCAGGGCTCCCACCTCTCCTTGGAGCAGCTGCAGCTCCAGGAGGGAACCACCTGGTTCCTGCTGGGCTCTGGCCCCATTCCTGCCCCCTCTTCCCATCACCTGTGGGGCAAGGGCTGCAAATTACAGGTTGTGCTGTGCCGTGCTGGGAAGAGCAGCTGGTTCCGGGGTGGTCTGTCACGGCAGGGACCTGTGAGCACATTGTCCCCACTGCCACCCCTGCCCTGAACCCGCTCTGGGCGTGGGGAGTGGGGGCCAGCACTTCGGGGTGTCCCCGAAGGGTGAGATGCAGAGTCACCAGCAGGGCAGTGACATCCCAGGGCTGGGAGCTTTGAGGGAGCAGGGATGGGTCTGTGAACATAAAACAGAACGGTGGCTCAGGGCAGGACCTGCTTTAGGGTCAGAAATGACCCCATGAGGATGGGGCAGCTTTTGGGGCCGCGTGTGTCCAAACCCGGGGAGAGGAGGGCTGCTGCCCACGGGGGGGACATAGGGCTTCCATCGGCCTTGGAAACGACACCAAACCCCCAAATTCCAGGCAGGCCTGATGCCTGTTAGCTTTTCTCCTTGCCCAGCACCCCCTCCCTCCCTGAGAAGCTTTTTGGGATGGAGTGTGTGAGTAATTAGGGTAATTATGGGTGTAACTTCCCAAACTTTGGGCTGAGGGGTGCTGATAGCTCGTTTGCAGCATTCCCACCTCCTGCTGATCCCCCAGCCCTTTCACTGCTCCAGTTATTCCTAAAGAGAGGACAGGATCCCACCCAGGCCTTGACCTCTCCTCAAACTTTCACTGGGCTTAGAGCCCACCATGCCCAGTCCAGTCCTATCAGCTGATAATTATAGAACTTCTTGGTGGCTTTTTTCCTTCATTTCACCCCATTCTCTTTTCCCTCTGTTTTGTTTGTTTTGCGTTTTTGTTTGCTTCTTTTGTTTTGGGGTTTTTTTTTTTGGTTTTGTTTTTGTGGGGTTTTTGGTAGTTTTTGTTGGTGAGATTTTTTTGTTTGTTTGTTTTGGGTTTTTTCTGGTTTTTTTTTTTGGTTTTCTATTTTTGGTTTTGGTTTTGTTTTTCT